ACACACACACACTTACAAGTAAACAGACACACACATATATGCATATTTTGAACATACATATGGGCATTCCTCAAGAAAAAACGATATTAAACCAAACATTCTGTGTTCAAGTTGCCCCATAGACGCTGCAACACCATATATTGATAACTTGTTTTGACTTGAGTTCATGCTATAAGGGTGGAGTTTGGAGCCTGGGAAATTTTCCAAACAACAGGATATAATAACTTGGAAAGAGTAAAGTTTCTTCAAAAGCAAACTGCTGTCCTTCTCTATCAATCAAAGCCCCTTTTTTACATTACTCAGAATATTCTAGCACACAAATAGCTTACTTTGATAAGGAAAAGGCAAATCTCAGGGAAGATTTGGAAATATTCAATAGTTGAGATTCTGTCATTTTAGGCAAGAAGCTTTGTAAATTTTTAGATTCATGATGATAGTGAAACAAAGCATATCGGCAGCTGTTTTCCACATTAAGGGAAATATAAATAAGATAATATATCTGGAAAATCTCTTATATTATAGTTTGAAATATTAAAAAGGATTCCTGGGAAAGAATTTAAATTTCTCCAAGGCAAAATCTGGATAGCAGCTCAATTCACTGACTCCTTCTGGCTGTGGACGCCTTTCACAAATTGTAATATACAGATTGGACTCTCGCTTGTCTTTGTATAAAATAAAGCTTAGGTGTTTAAAGTGGGAGCATTTTTAGATTTAATGACTATATTTCAGGTTACAAATTTTCAGTTAAAAATCACATGTGATAAAAATCATCTTTTGAAAGATCTGAATAAATAGGGCCTATAAACTGTATAATCTTAGTTGATTTTGCAAATCAAATCAATCATTTAATAAAAAATAGGTTTTATCCATTAACTTTATGCTTCATGCGTGTATAAACTGTGTATTTGTTACACTAATTTGCTTTGAGAATTTGCTGCTCCAAAATCAGGGAACTCTCAGTTCAGCAATAATTCAATAGAGATTAGCAAAACCAGATGTGGAGACGGAATTTGCAGTTAAACAGGCCTATTGTTCATTGTCTCGTAGGAAGCTGGTGCCCATCTTCACTAGCTCACTATTAGTCACTCGTTTCCAGATACGTCAGAGGTTGACAGAAGTACTCAGTGCACTAAAGTCGCAGGGGAGAGGAGAGTCCCGCGGGGAGACCTACTGCTTCTGCAAGTGCCCCCGTCCTGTCCTTGAAGGCAGACAAGCTGACACATGCCATTCGTTGCATTTCTGAACATCTTTTTGAGCAGTTTAGTATCTTTCTGGAGAAGGCTTGTAATGATGTGGATGGCGATGTTTGAGATGGGGTCCTAAGAAGTGACATAGATATCAGTCATTTCGCTTTATACATCCCCAATAAACAGCCGGATTGCATTTATTTGTAGAGCGGGCATTAGAGCCAGGCAAAGGTTCCCTCCCATATCCATGTCTTTCCTATTCTGAGTCTGAAGGTGCAGACATTCATTCTCTCTCTTCTCTCTCTCTACCTTCCCAGCTTTTCCCTTCTTCCCTCCTCTGCTCCCCCCTTAAAACTATAAAAACACAAGAGAAAGAAGACAAACTCCTTTCCTTAAGCTTACAATTATTTAAGCAAGCCATAATCCCATTTATTTCCTCAAAAAACTTTAAAAATTAAGAGACACTTTTATTGAATAGAATTTCAATGGAGGAATATCAGGAAAGCATTCAGCCAACCCTTACAAACACAAGGGGCCAGAAGGCTCCCCCATTGTGAAAGTGTTTGCTTTTCTTTACATTCTAAGCATAAAAAGTTAGTGGGGCAAATTTGAGCCATCATTTTAAAAAACCAGAGGTAAAACTAGGATTGCTTTTCAATTTTCTTATCAACACACAAACCTTTAGACTGCTTTTTAAGTTTAAGCTGGAAAAAAAATAAAGTATGTAATTTAAAATTCAGCAAGAGGCTCATTGTTTTGAAACTGTAGGTGACAATTTTTTAAAAATTTTACTTGATTTAGCAATAAATCAAGTAGATTGACTGGGGTCATATTATAAAGAAAATTCATGTAATATATTAGAGTAAAATATACATAATAGGAAGATAAGCTCCTTAGCAAAATATTATTTCCTATATTGTCATATTTGAAAATCTTAATTTTTAAGAAAAATTTCAGATTGATATGAGATTATAGATTTTTTTTCCCCATATGTATTTACAGTTTAAAAGACAAGGAAAAAACATGCATTACATAGAAAATAAATGGAAGAAAAGAAAGGAAGGAGGGAGGGAGGGATGGATGGATGGAGGAAGGGATGGATGGAGGAAGGGATGGATGGAGGGAGGGACAGATGGAGGGAGGGAAGGATAGAGGGAGAGACAGATGGACGGATGGATGGAGGGAAGGATGGTGGGAGAGAGGGATGGATGGATGGACGGAGGGAAGGATGGAGGGAGGGATGGAGAGGTGGAGGGAGGAAGGGAGGAATTCAGCATCAACCATACAATTTATGCTAACAGTAGCTAGAATAAAATCCAATAAGTAGATATAAATGGGGAGGAAGAATTTCAGGTAAAGAGAATTCCCTATTTCATAGGAATTGATAATAATTTATTTATTTTAGTTCTTCACTAAGACTTTTCCCTCTGTCCACGAGACATGGCAGGGGTCCTCCTGCCCTGGCACTCACTGTGCGCTGAAGATGGCGGGAGGTCAGGGGTCCGGAAGGTTTTGATTGTGGTGGGCCCTTCCCCTCCTGTGGTCAGCACTTGTACTTCCAGGCGATAAAGGGTGGATGGCCTCAGATTGGGCACTGTTAGGACATAATGATCCTGAGGAAGTTACATAACAGGAGATGCTGGTCAATAACCTTTCAAAAACAACACACACAGTGAACACATATTCTATGACCATTTCTTCCCCACATGAAAATATTGTATAAATGCATGTTTGGTTCATTTTAACACCACAGTGTAATGTGCAGAATGTTGCTCCTAATTTTCTAGAGTTCTCTGCTGTGTAGTCTCTCGGCACCTACCTCAATGCCTGGCAGCCCGAGACCCTTGGCAGTGTTAGAATCTGCCGAGGTGCCAGTTCTCAGGGCTCACCCTTGGGATTTCATTTTTTATTCCTTAACATAAGACTTTCCCATGGCTTAAGGTTTTCATCTGCACATCTTGTGATGTGAATTCTTGATAATCCAAATTTCAGTAAATGAGCCAACTGTTTTCCTTAAAACACAATGTCTGTCAATGCCCGTAACTGAAAATGTTTATTTTTATGCCAACACATTCTTCTCAAAATTCAATAACACTTAATACATTCATAGAATAACTACTTTCTAATTCCATGGAATTTTCCCTTCTGGGATTTAAGGTTTTTGGTTTTTTTTTTCTTTTTGTAACAGGAGTTGGATATTCTAAGGGCATTTTTAGAGAGGGTAAAAGCCCACACATGGGTTTTTTTTCAAACCCTGGAAGACAGGCCAAGTCATTATGGGCTGTAGCCAAATTTGAAGGGGAAAAAGGAAGAGAAAAAACAAGTTTCTTTTAGCTATTTTTTGTTCCAATTTAACACTTCAAACAGGGCATATCCACATGGACCAGAGGGACACGGGGTTAACAAGGACAGAAGAAAACTGTTAAATCACTTGCATATAAGACAGGATAAGGTCTGTTGAAGAGCTGACTCCAGTAACCAAGATTAATCTAGGTGATGGTTTATTCCGTTCACAATAACACTTGTGATGTGTCGTTGATACTTGCAAAATAACACATTCAGAAGAAAATATAGAAGTAAGACTAAATAGTACAGCACGCAGCATGACAGAAATCTCCTACTCTGACGGTAATTACACATGAGCGATGGATATGAGCAACACGGACATGGTGACCAAGCTGGCACCTACAGAAGGCAGTATCTGGGACTGTGAAATGATGCTGTTGGGTAAGCTGTTCTGTCTGCTCTCCGTCGTGACCTCAGCCCACGTCACTTGAAAGCCAGTCATGGGCTGATAGAGGTTGGCCTTGGCCATCTTCCAAGAAAAGTGGCCCGTGATGTTCACACCCTGGACAACGAATGAAGCAGAAAGGTTCTCGGGCTTGGCCAGCACTTTGGAAAGAACGTGACCTGGAGCGATGGGAAGATGAAAACCGGGTTAGGTGACTGGAGAAACAGCGAACGTGGGACCTGTTTCATGTCTCTCTGGGGAATTTTAGGCCGCCATCCTATGGGGAGGGTAGAAGCAATTTGACATCAGACTTTAAGCACAGGCTCAGAGAATCACCTCTTAGATATCTGGGGATAGTACCTGAGCGAGAGTATCATCATTGTGACTTTGTGCTAAGTGCTTTTAAGACTTTGGGCATTATTTTTAGAGCCCTGCTTTGGGGATGGAAGGAGGAGACAGAATTTTGCAGTCTGGCAAGACTTGGACGTTTCTTCAAGAACAGATGAGAAGGGTGGACACTGGAGTTATTAGAAGAGGTCTTAGAAGTTACTAAAAGGAGCTTAGGGGACTGCATTTAAGAAGCCCAGGGATAGTTGTCCTTGCTGCAGGAAAGGGGCTTTAGCAGGAGAAGGGAGTCGAAAGTAAAGACATGGAATTGAGAAATTGTGTAAAGATAACTCACGTGGCAATGGGGTGGGGTAAAAATAAATAATTTACATAAAGTATGGCAAAGCACAAGCAGTATATATATAAACCTTTGGCTTCATTTCTAAAGGGATATTATTGCCAGCAAAGGACGTCTTCCAATGCTGTTAGAATTTTAAAATAATGCATACATTCATACATATATTCCCTCCAAAACTGGGCCACCATTTTACAATTCAGAAAGAGTGGTACTTTTAGGTTTTAGGGTGTTGTGAAATGCAGTTTGGAAAAGTTTTCATTAAATTAAATGTTAAATTAAATGTTTCCAAAGGGTTGCCAATATCACAGACACACACTTGCAAGTTCAGGTCAGACCATACCTGCTTCGCTAGGGCAGCTGACATGTTTGTGGCTTTTCCCCTTGAGAGCAGAGCAGGGCGGAGTCGTAAAGAAAACAGTTTCTGCCTTCAAGAGGCCCTTCGGCCGTGTTGGTTGGACAGTCACCTTATATTTGCAGGAAAATGACAGATCTTGAAGAATTATATAATTTTCCTAGAGCAAGAGAAAGAGAATATGCAAGCAATAAATCTCATTAGGGATAAAAAATTGGCAGGAGATGAAACCATATTCCGAAAGGATATTTGCCTCTATGTACATGGAGTGTGTGCAATATGGCTTTTATGAAAAGTACAAAGGAGACACTGTCCCTGCTTTCATTAATTACAATGGTGGGCCACTCCCACGGCGTGGGAGACATCCTCTGGAATTAAACGGGATCCTGGTGACTCCGCATCAAAGCAGCCAACTCGAACCTTCACCACCTAATTTTTTTAAATATAGAAAAGCTAACTCAGGCTTCTCTGAGACACAGGCTTAGTTTATACATAAGTTTGTCTTTTACAAAATGAAGATATTCTTTAGCAGTGTATTTCTTTTTCCCATTGTGAAGTGCTGTTATTGCTTCCTGCCATAACATTGTTATTAAATATAAATAGGAAAAACAGGCTAAATGGCTGAGGAATGAGAGGCTTAGAATATAGTTTTACACTAACATGGAAAGAGGACATTTATGGTTATAACAGGTTTGTCACCATGTTTCTTTTATATTTTGTTCATGATGCTTATCTATTCAAGTTTATAGTTATCAGAGCTGCATGTACAGGTATGAAAGATGCATACATGTACGTCTTTCTCTAATACCCTTTGGGTGAAGGGCAGGGGTCCCTGCCAGGCAGCAACGTGGATTAGTGGAGAATGTGAGACAAGATTTAAAATCAAGACAGAGGCTCAAGTCCTCCTCCGAGTCACCTGAGTCAGGAGTAGAAGCCGCTGTGGTTGGTGGAGCAGGAAATGTGCAAACCCACAAAGGGGAACAAGTGGCAGAGCTCCCGGCCCCTCATGCAGAGGGAAGGAGATGAGGAAGACTCAGCTGAGCACAGCTAACACCAAGGAGCACACGGGAAGCAACCCCAGCCTGCTGTGTCTCTTTGGGAGTCCGAGTCGCTTTCCTTTAGGAAACTATCTGCACTTTCTATGGGACTATATTGGAATCTAGAGTTAGCCACGAAGGACACTGCTTCACAGATATCTCAAGAATGCTTTTCTATGGCGTAGAGGGCAGACATCTGTAGCAACAGGTGAATTAGTGGATGCGCCATCATAGCATGAAAATAAATTAAGTGTGTCTAAAAATTGTTTAAAAATGGAAACAGGGGCCGGCCTAGTGGTGTAGTGGTTAAGTTTGGTGCACTGTGCTTCAGCGGCCCGGGTTTGTGGGTTTGGATCCTGGGCACAGACCTACACCACTTGTGAAGCCATGCATGTGGCAGTGACTCACCTACAAAATAGAGGAAGATGGGCACAGATGTTAGCTCAGGGCCACTATTCCTCAAGCAAAAAGAGGAAGATTGGAAACAGGTGTTAGCTCAGGGCCAATCTTCCTCATCAATGAAAAAAAAAAAGGAAACAGACAAGTTCTAAGCTTAGTGGAGTGCTTTTCAGGATTTTGATTCTCATTTCTAGCAGACGTACTACATATGCTTAGTAAAGAGTTATCATCATCTTCAGAGTTTCTAAAGACAATAAGCCTAGGATCAGCCAGCCCCCTGAAAATAAGCCAGATTCCATGATTCCAAGGCACATATAAGTAATACAAGTAACAGGCTTGCCCCTTGCCCATAAAAAATTTAATAAATTCTGCTTCTGTTCATTTCTTTCTCTGCTTTTCAAGTAGGTTTCCCTTTTTAAAAATCTTTCTTTTTTTTTTTTTTACTAAAGACTACAAACTTTGGAAAGAGCTTAAGGATAAATAAAATGACCAACTTTGGTGAACATGAGTTGGGACGAGTCAAATCCAGTACCAAGTTGTGTATTTCTGCAAATCCAGTGACTTGTTTTATCTGACGATCTTAAAGTTACGTGATCAGATACAATCCTAAAAATATTCTAGTTGTTGCGTTACAAAATGTTCAAAAGAAAAATGCTCTAGTTAAATACCATATATCAATATTTTGTCCATTTGGGGCTATGTCTTCAGATTTTTTTAATACTGTCCTGATATATTACATATGAATTGCTGTCATCAACACTGAGTGTAATTTGATGTCCTCTAAAACATTTTATGTTGGCTTGTTGATTCTACTCTGTAATTCATGCATGAACCCCAAAACATTTGGAATAACGTTTTGAGTAATGTAGTCAGACTTACTATCTCCAAAGAATTTAATGATCTCTTAAAACATCAGTGCGTGGTGTACAGAACAGATAGTATCTTCCGGTAACTGGGCGAGTTGGTGGTAGTTAGCCAACGCAAAGAGAGATGCTAAATGATAGTCAGGGTCGTAATTCGTTGGGAAAATGGTACCTTTAGATCGTGGTGCCAAGTCAAAATTCAGAAAATAATTCAAAACTTTTTTCCAATGAAGATGAAACACACAGAGACTCAGAAGCTTTTCCCCTCTGATCGGGCAGTTCCTTAAGAACTTGTCCTTAATCTCTACATTTTAGGACCTGCCATGTGTTGATAATAGAATAAGCTGTCAATGTAACGTTGTGAATGGATGACAGAGTGAGGGAACATGATGACCGTTATGTGTTCGGCTTTCATCTAGTCAATTATTCAATAGCTGATTTGTGAGAATGAGTTATCACTGGACATACAGTGTGCACATCTTTGTGTCTAATTTTATACACAGATCAAATGAGTCTAAAAACTATTCAGAATGGAGCAGTCTGCCCTCTCTCTGCTTACCCGGGTCATGCCAGACGACGTCTCCAGTCCAGTAGTTTGGTTGTGGGCACAGACTTCTGGAAACCACTGTACATGATATTGATTCACACGGGGATCTAGAGTGTCAAAAGGCACAAACAAAAACAACAGTCTGGAAGTCACATTCCACATAGTTCGATGTTCTTAAAATGTGGGAGAATAGAAAGGAAGAACATAAAATCCTGCAGGTGATCCAAAAGTGCCTACGTGAACCAAAGGAGGCATACAGGTCTTGCAGAATTCTGATTGTTGTTTCACTATTAAGAGTAAAATCAGGGAAAGAAGTAATTCACTGCCAAAATAAAACTATGTTGAATATGAGAACTACATTGAAAAAATAATTAGTAAAGTCCCAGAAAAATGACTCCAAGGATGTCTGGAGACTAACCTAGCCCTGGTGTCTATGATAAGTCAATCTCTATAAGATAGGGTGACACTTAGCAGATCTCTTAATTCCTATGTTATAAGAGAGAATCATCCCAAATCTCTGAATCCTACATTTTTCTGATAAAGCTGATAGAGAGGCTATTGAACCCACGCAAAAAGAGAAGCATTTTCCTTAAACCTGAAGAATCGGCCATTCACTTTTATTCCCTCTCGAGTATTGCTGTAACGACGTTCCCTCATCAGAAGACACAGGACACACCGCTTTCCCTCCAACCATACACGGTGCGTCCTGGCGTTTCAGAGTATTTGGTCCCTACTGAGCTATGACTAGGTGCTCTGAGAGAGAGGCGAGAACGCCGACTCTTTAAAACATTTGCATTCCTGGGTGGAGCAGCATATCTTCTGAACATTTCTTTGGGCAATCAGGTGGAAAAAAGACAAAACGACGAGAAGCACCTGACTGAGTGTGGGAACGGCGGTCTGGACAGTCTCAGGTTTACTAATCACCCAGTGTGTCTGAGGGGTGTGAAAAGGCACATTTGTGCCAGCGATTAATGTCACGTCCCAAAGCGATCATGACAAGAGTTTGATGGAGATTTTCCCAGGGGAAAATTCTTTGATGAAATTGGGTGGATCTAGTGGGCATTTGTCGTGAGCACTTTGGAACAAGAAAAGAAGAACTTCAAATCAGAGAAAAGAAACAGATATCAAGCTGGCACTAACGGCATATAGTTAAGAGGAACCCCTTACTGGAGGTTTTCACTTCGACAAGGCAGACAACAAGGGCTTTTTGTTTTTCTTTTTGGAAAAGAATTATATGTTATATATAAGTTTGAAGTCAATGAATGAGTGAATTCCTATCCTTTCATTCAACACGTGAAGCTGTTCTAGGCACAGAACAGAAACAGCTGCTCTCCTGGATCTTAAATACCAATGGGGCTGGACAGATAATAAACAAAGTACATAAGTAAGATCTATGTCAGGTTAGAAGGTAATAAGGCTACAACTAAATACGGAAGGTAAGAGAGGGGAGGTATATTGACAAAGGGTTACAAAGTTAAATAAGGTGGCTGGCGTAGCTCGTGAAGAAGCTGACTTTGAGTAAAGACTGGGGCAGGTTTGGCAAGGGGAGGGGACAATGCAGGTGACTGTGGGCAGGGCGTCCTGGGCCCCCGCTGTCCAAGAGAGCTGTCTCATGATGAAAACATTCTGGATGTGGTGACCCCTAGTCACTTCTCCGTCTAAAGCAACTGAAATATTGCTAGTGCAACTGAGGGATCAAATTCTAAATTTTAATCAATTAGAATTTAAACCGCTACAGGTGGCTAGTGGCTACTGTCTGGGACAGCGCAGTTCCAGCCACAGAGAACAGCAAGTGCAGAAGTCGAGAGTTGGGAACAGAGCGTGACTGGCATTCTTTGCAGGGACAGTCAGGGAATTGATCCCGGTTTGCGATAATACCATTGTATGATGTATAATTGAGACCTGATGACTCTGGGTATCCTAAAAATCCTATACATATTTTACAACATGATTATATGTTCGTGAGAAGAGGCATTCGGAGTGACACATCGGACACTCCCTCTCGGGTCCATCCCTCCCTTCAGCTCTAAGTGCTGCCATACCTGCGTTCAAGGCCTTCTTGTCTTCTCTCTATGTGCCACCTCCATCACTAATTCCATTCATTCTCACGACCTTCAAAATCACGTTCCTGTTGACGGCTCCCACATTCCTTCCTCCACCTGCGCTAGTCCCTTGAACAGCTGGTGCTCCCAACTTGCTATCCCACATAGACGTTTTCCAAACTCAACGTTTCTAAATCTACACCCTTGATTTCTGCCCTCAAATCGCCCTTCCCGCATTCAGGGTGACTTTTATCTAATCACGACTTTTTGTTTTCTGTATTTCTGATGTTTTGACATCTTGGGGCCCGGCTGAGCCTGGAGGTACTGCCCCTTCCTAGGGATAGTAAACTACTCCCCCGCAAGCATGCCTTTCAAGTGCAAACCAGCTCATCCAGAGCCCACACCCCCACCACATCCTGTATTAGGCTCTCGCACTCAGGGCCACCACCCACCTGCCCTAATCAACCCCGGGCCAGGCAACTAGAGGCAGCCCCTATGCCCCAGCGGCTGCTGAAATGATTCACTCTAGCCAATCTTAAACCTGCTCCCCCTGCCTTGCCTGTTCCTTCCCACAGAAGCCACAATACAAGCTCCTTCCCACAGTTTTCCCGTCTCCCTCTGCCTCCTGGCCGACGCCGGCGCTTCCTCGTGTGGCCCTGTGTGGCATGGTACGCCCCCTCCTCTTGGGAACTGTCAGTAACAAACTATGATTTCAATTGCAGTCGTCTCCTGATCTGATGGCTCCCCCAAACCTGAATGATAGTAAAACCTACACTCTAAAACATGATTGAATGAACAAGTTGTCTTTTAAGCATTCCTTCATGTCACATTCGCAAACACATACACAGCAGTCCATGTTTTTCTAAGCTTCATCAAAAAATGGCATGCATTTTGCATAGACGTCTATACAATCAATTCTCATTATTCACAGTAGTTATGGTTTATAAAAATCACTGTGAACACTGAATTAGTGAATACTGAGTCATTACTTCTAGAGGGAATGCAGGGTTAGGTTCTTGTGAACCTCTGGTCACAACATTTTTGTCAGCCAATCAATACATCTTGTTCTATGTGTGTTTCTGTTTAAAGCCACCTTATTTAACATATATTTCTTATAAATTAGTGATTAAAGTGTCAGATTTCCTTATAAAAACACTAGTTAAAAGCATTTTCACGATCGTGGGTAGAGTGACTGTACATTTCTTTAGCTTTCAACCTCACAACAATGCTGTCTACTATACTTTTCTTTGTAAGTCATCATCTCAAGAACCACAAATTTAGCCACTTTTTCATTATAAGTCGTCACCTCAAGAACGACAAATTTAGCCACTTTTTCACCTTTGCCATAGCTTCGTCACCCACTATCGATGCTATGCCAGCCCCTTACAGAGCAGCCTCAAGTATAAATCAGCAAACTTCCTCTTCCTCTTCCGGGACATACCATATTGTTGATTCATTCACATTGAACTCACGGCCAACAGCCTGTGACTCACGCCTGAACAAAGCTTATCTAACTACATATTTTTTTCCCCCTTGAGGAAGATTCCCCGAGCTAACATCTGCTGCCAATCTTCCTCTTTTTACCTGAGGAAGATTGTCCCTGAGCTAACGTCCGTGCCAAACTTCCTCTATTTTGTACGTGGGACACTGCCACGGCATGGCTTGATGAGTGGTGTGTAGGTCCACGACCGTGATCTGAACCTGCAAACCCCAGGCCGCCAAAGCTAAGCACATGAACTTAACCACTACACCACTGGGCTGGCCCCCAATCTTCCTCATTTTTATGTGAGCTGCCACCACAGCACCAGATGAGTGGTGTAGGTCTGCACCTGGGAACCAAACCTGGGCTGTTGAAGCGGAGTACGCCAAACTTAACCACTAGGCCACCAACGCTGGCCCTAACCACGTGTTTTAACTGTAAACCACACAGTAGCCTTCTTGCTTAGAAGGCTTAGAAACACTAGGCAGCACTTCAGCACTACACTTGGGGGCCATTTTAAACAGCAAAATCCCCCCAGAAAAGCAAGAAAATGCAAAAAGTAAAAAAACCAAGACATTAAATAGACCATGCAAAGGACACTCGTTGACAGTATGAGACCTGAAATAAGAAGGGAGGGTGTCACCTTGCCCAACTTCAATTGAGAATGTGTGTGTGGTGTACTCAAACTTATCACCACTCTGTGCATATGCATCTCTGCAAATGACCGCAAAAGCGTCACAACTATTGGTTTGAGGGCTACAAATAAATTTTAGTGAGTAGATGAATTACAAACACAGAATTCATAAGTAATGAGGATCGACTGTATCTCCTTTCATTTTCAAATCAGTAGCATAAGGTAGCTTCCTTTTTTAATGCCTAAGGAATTCCACAACACTTTCATTTGTTGTCTTTAATCCAATCCTCACACTTTGGTGCTAAGATACTGGACTGATGTGGTTCAAATTATATCATTTTATTTAACCAGCAATCATTGCAAAGCCACTCAACACAAAAGGTAGTTTTCAACATCTTACTTGCAGTCTCTGCAATATCTGACATCACTCGTCCCTCCCTTTCTTCTTGAAACTCTTGCTCCCCTTGGCTTCTGTCTCAAATCTCTCCATTTTCTCCAATCCCTCTGGGCACTTACTATCTATGTTCTGTGCCAGATCATGCCCCTTTGTCTTGTTATCTTCAATTCCAGGTCCCAGTCCTCTCTATTCCATTCTCAGTCCAAATTCTCTCTAGAGAGAAAGAGGGATCTCATCCACAGTACATGACTGTAATTTCTACTGATTCAAATTTCTATTTCTAACTCTATCCTGAGATCCATGCAAGGGCAACTGCTTTCAGTCTTGTAGGTTGTGCACTACATAATTCTGGTGGGAGGAAAGAGAGGGCATTCACCTCCTAGTGTATATGAATGGCACATCCTGGTATTTCACAGTGTACAACATGCATGGTAGTGCATGGTAAACTGTGTTAACTCCTACTTTTCTCCACTGCCTCCAGTGCACTTCAAACTCAAAATATGCACCCACCCCAAACTGCTCCTCCAATACTGTCCCTTATTGCAGTCAATGGC